AAAAAAAAAAAAAAAAAAAAAACACCATGCAAGATAGGCAATGTAAGAAGAGAGATGGAAATCCTAAGAAAGAACCAAAAGAAATGCTAGACATCAAAAACGGTGAAAGAAATGAAGTGTGCCTTTGATGAGCTCATTAGTAGACAAGACATGGCTAAGGAAAGAATCTCTGAGCGCGAGGTATTTCAACAGGAACCTCCAAAACTAAAAAGCAGGGAGAAAAAATAATGAAAAAAAAACTGAACAGAATATCCAAGGACTATGGGATAATTACAAAAGGTGCAACATACACATAATGGGAATACCAGAAGGATAAGAAATAGAGAAAAACAGATGATATTTGAAAAAATAGTAACCGAGAATGCCCCAAATTAATGTCCGACATCAAGTAACAGATCCAGGAAGCTCAGAGTACATCAAGCAAGATAAATGCCTCCCAAAAACTACACCTAAGGAATTCATTTCCAAACTATGGAAAATCAAAGAGAAAGAAAAAATCCTGAAAGAAGCTAGAAGGAAAAAAACATCTTACCTATAGCCAAAGATAAGAACTATACCCATACTCCAGTAAACTATGCAATCAAGAGAGTAGAGTAAAATATCTTAAGTGTTGAGAGGAGCACCTGGCTATCTCAGTGGGTCGAGCATACAACTCTTGATCTTGGAGTCATGAGTTCAAGCTTCACATTGAGGGTATAAACACATTGAGCTCAAGCCCCACATTGGGTATAGAGCTTACTTTTAAAAAACTGGGGCACCTGGGTGGCTCACTCGGTTAAGTGTCTGACTCTTGATTTCGGCTCAGGTCATGATCTCATGGTTTGTGAGATTGAGCCCTGCAATGGGCTCTGCACTGACAGCACAGAGCCTACTTTGGGATTGTCTCTCCCTCTCCCTCCCTCCCCCCACTCCTTCTCCCTCTCTCTCTTTCTCAAAATAAATAAATAAATAAACTTTTAAAAAAAATTAAGAGAAATTGTTGCCAGTACACATGCCTTACAAAAAAGGTTAAAAAAAGTTCTTTACAGGCACCTGGGTGGCTCAGTCAGTTAAGCATCTGACTTCGGCTCAGGTCATGATCTCACTGGTCATGAGTTGAAACCCCACGTCAGGCTCTGTGCTGACAGCTAGGACCCTAGAACCTGTTCAGGTTCCGTCTCCTTCTCTCTCTGCCCCTCCCTCATTTGCACTCTGTCTCTCTCTCTCAAATATAAAACATAAACATTAAAAAAAAATTCTTTAGAGAGAAGAAAAACAGATCTGAAAATCAGATCCACCAAAAGGAGCATCAAAGAATGAATAAGGTAAAAAAAAAATTTTATTTTTCTCATTCTTAATTAGTAACAGCTAGCTCAAAATAACAATAGCAACAATGTATTTAGTTATGTACCCTTATGTATATATCTTGTGTGTTGGTATACCAACATGTATATATACTTATGTATGCTTATACATGTGAAATGAATGACAGCAATGATACAAGGGACAAAAGGGAAGAATTAGGATTATTTTGTTATTATAAGGTGCCCATACTATACCTCACTCACACCCTGAAGTGATATACTGGTTTTTTTTTTTTAATTTTTTTTTTTTAACATTTATTTATTTTTGAGACAGAGAGAGACAGAGCATGAACGGGGAGGGTTAGAGAGAGAGGGAGACACAGAATCCGAAACAGGCTCCAGGCTCTGAGCAGTCAGCACAGAGCCCGACATGGGGCTCGAACCCACGGACAGTGAGATCGTGACCTGAGCCAAAGTCGGACGCCCAACCGACTAAGCCACCCAGGCGCCCCAAGAAGTGATATACTATTAATTGAAAATGGGTGGCTGGGGCAACTGGGTGGCTCACTCAGTTAAGGGTCCAACTCTTGATTTTGGCTCAGGTCATGATCTCACGGTTCACGAGTTCAAGCCCCAAGTCGGGCTATGCACTGTCAGTGTGGATCCTGCTTTTCATTCTCTTCTCCCTCACTCTGTCCCTCCCTCTCCCTCTCTCAGAATAAATAAACTAAAAAAAAAATTTTTTTAATGGACTTGGGGGGTGCCGGGGTGGCTCAGTCAGTTGAGTGTCTGACTTTTGATTTCACCTCAGGTCATGATCCCAGGGTTGTGGGATCAAGCCCCCTGTGTCAGGCTCTGTGATAAATGTGGAGCCTGCTTGGGATTTTCTTTCTCTCTCTTCCCTCCCCCCAACTTTTGCCCCACTCTCTCTATATATAAAATAAAATAAAAATTTCTAATGGAAGTGAATTAGTTGTAGATTATACTGTAAACTCCAGGGCAATCACTAACCAAAAAAAACAGTGAAAAAAATTGTAACTGATACAGTAAGAAACAAGAGAAGATGGCATCATGCAAAACGTTCAATTAAAACCATAAAAGGCAGAAAAATAGTGGAGACAAAAATAGGGGGAAAAAAACAAGGGCAATAAGTAGTAAACATTAACAAATATGATAGATATTAATCCAAATATATCAATACTCACTTTGAACATCAAGGTCTAAATGCACCAATTAAAAGAGACTGTCAGAGTGGATCAAACACAATACTCAAACTTATGTTGTCTATAAGAAACCCACTTTAAATATAAAGACAC